AAATTAAGTAGACTTAATTTCAATACTATAATAAGAGGGACCAATTCAAATTCTCACCGTCTGTTTCACACCCACAAAATACATTTTTATTTTACTTTTTTTTTTTCTTTGGTACCAGGGATTGAACTTGGGACCTTGTGCTTTCAAGGTAGGCGCTGGAACCACTGAGCTAAATCCCTGGCCCTCAAAAACAGTTTTATAATTTTCTGCTTTCTTTTTGGTGTCTTTCTCCAGACTGTGAGATCTCCAAGGAAAGTATGGATACTATATTTATCTCTGCTAACCCAGCATGTAACCCAGTGTCTCACAATGCTTGTGGGGTACACAAATAAATAAATGAATATTCTCTTTCAGGCCTACCTAACAATTTCCTATTATCATCTTTGTTTTGTTTACTCTTCAGAAACCACCCAGAGAAAACAGTTTTCCACAGAAACAATTGACCCCTTCCATAGATATGGTAAAGCAGACATTCTTATCACATCTGCCCCAAATATACCTATAGTGGCCCCCTGGGAGTGGCCCACGTAGCAGAGTTGCTCTTGTCCAGTTTTCTCTATGATTAAATCAATTGTGGCTGGAAGATCATATTTAGCCATTTCATCCAAACTGTCCAAGAAAAGAAACAACAATAATCAGAAAAGACATCTCATTGTTAGGCCTGCAATAGGTAAATACATTCATTGTATGGCCTGAAATAGGTCAATGCATTCAATAGGTAAATACATAAATTTGCTTTTGTTAATATAAGACTAGAGTTAGCATGCTATATAATGCATCTGAGCAACTTTTAAGGTTGTCACTTTGATAGCAAGAAACATTTTAAAAAGCTAGACTCAGAAAAATATGATTTATAAAGTCCTACTGATACTTTTCTTGTAAGCCTACTAATATTTAATTTACTCCTATGGCAGATGCACCAATCTCTTCTGAAAAAAGTTAATTGGAATGCTTATTCAAAACACAGATTTTCAGATCTCAGCCCAGACTGAACTGAATCAGTATTTCTAGGGAAAAGTTTTGATAATCTGTAAATTGATCAATGGCCTCAGGTGCTTAGGATTCAGTGTAGAGTTCAGGAAATACTCAGGGAATCATCTTGTCCTTTGCAATATTGCAGTGACGTAAGGACCCTGGAGTGCGAAATTAAAAAATACCAATGATTTCCAGAAAGTAGGAAGGAGATTAAGAACCAAGTAGCTTTGCTGATCTCTAAGGCATGTTTCTTAGCCACTATGCAAATGTGTGGGTTTTTCCCTATTACTGAGTAGGTCACGCTTCTGAAGCAGACAGCACCTTCATTCAGGCTCTGCTGTGGGAATACTCAGCTCTAGCCATTCTGGGATCAGGACACACCCACACCAGGACGGAAGTGAAGGTTTGAAAACAAACAGCAATGCAATAATGAGAGCTTTTCTTTGGAGCTTGAATAGAGGAAAAAAGTGAGTATTCATGTACATAAATGAGCAAAGTACACACTTAATTCATCAGCAGGTTTTTCTTTACCTGAAGGCCCAGAATTCTGACGATTTGGGTGACAAATTCATGTGTTTTCTGGACCAGGTGTTTCCTCGACTGTTTCCCAACCATACATCATAACAATTATCTGCCAGAAGGAAAGCCAAGCTGTTGTTGGGTGGATTGCAAATCCAGTCAATGGCAGATCCAATTAAGCCATGCTGCAAATATACAATAGGCTTTGGAACTGCAAAACAAGCAACAAGAATTTCATGTCTGAGCTAAGAGACAACCTACAATGTGGGAAAAAAATTTTAGCATCTGCACCTCAGACAAAAGACTACTAACTAGAATATATAAAGAACTGAAAAAAGTCAGACCCCCCAAATTCAAAGACCCAATTCAAAAATGGGCATCTGAAATGAACAGACATTTCTCAGACAAAGAAGTAAAAGCAG